TGGTCAACAATGTTGACTATTTAGATCACCAAGTGACAGTTGTTTTCTATTAAACATCATTTTTGTTGTTTAAAAGTTTTATAGCAATTTCTATAGAAATTAATAGACATTTTATATAAATTTTATAGTTTCTATAGGCCATATGTTTCAAAAATTTAGAGAAATTCCATAGATTTTTTTTTCCCGGGATGTTGTCACTCCGCCGCTGTAGTGAATCAGCGTGTTTTCTGATTCTTCCAGATATTGGCTTAGCTGTGTGTCAATGCCTGTTTGTAATTGTTGTTCATCTGCTGTGCCACAAGCGGGCATAGACTGAATAATTTCATCTATATATATATTGCCATTGTAATGATGATAATGTATAAAAATTATCCAGCCGGGGTTGTTTTGCTGGATTTTTTTTAGTTTTTTCAATCTAAAAAGGTTTCTCCTCAATGCCTTTGAATCGCTCATCTAATGACTTGATTAGGATTGACTTCATAGTCTTTACACCTGCATTATTGCAGAATATCGTGTGTCTTTTCTTCAGAATTTTTTGTTGCGTTGTTGTTTGAAATTAGGCTTAGCTAATTAAATTGTAAAGAAATGTTAATACAGATACCAAAACAAACATGAAGTTCAAAAATTAAGTAATATGTATACATGTTATCACGGGCAAGAAAGATGTAATAAATATCTGACCAAAATTCAGAAATCCGGCCAAAATTATGCCGGATTTGCTAACATTTTGCCGGAGCCGGATTTGTAAAAATGGCCGAATTTCGGCCGGAGCCGAAATTCGGCCAGCCCTAATATATATATATATATATATAGTCAAAAAAATAGTAAATAACAAAATAATTAATGAAATTGCTCTTATATAAGGAAATAGTCATAACAGTATATAAGGAAATAGTCATATATATAAGTCAGATATATAAGGAAATAGTCATAACAGTAAAAACAAATTTTTATATGGAAAAAAAGTTGAAGCAATGACCAGAAAAAAATCATACATAAAGAACATTTTAATATGAAGTTTTAAAAAAAAATTATTGAAATCCTACAGTCAGATTTTTAGAAAATTGATTTCAAATAAATAAACAAATCTATGATTTACACTAAAAAAGTATTAAGTAAAAATACAGTTTTAGCGCGCAAAGATTTTTGTTACCTCTATTGATTTATATTTTTGTGAAATTTTTGTATTATTTTATTGATTTACATTAAAAATAAGGCTATATCATCGGCTTTTCAGAAATTAATTAACAAATAAACTGTTGCCATATAAAATATTTTCTGTAGTTAAGAACGGTAGCCATTTTAAAAGTTCAAAAGTTTTTTGTATTTTCTTACGCATCCGTACCTAAACATAGCGCTTTTTACTAATATCTAAACGACCGTGCTGTATGCAATAACTGCTGGTTGAATCAAAACAAAATTCACAAATAAGTCCCATGGGTTTTAAAGAGAAAATCTTTGAAGTTTCATATATCTTATTATTTAGAAATTAACAGCATTAGTGTTTAAAATTAATTTTTATTACATATTTTAAATTATGTAAACGTCTCATTAAATTTCAAGTTTTATTTCTTAGTTGTCGCGTTTATCTTTTATACTGATCTTAAAATATAAATCACTAATTAATAATAACGTTATTATCGTTTTCTTGAAATACTTTGACAATATTCACATGAGCAACAGACTAGATATACAATACTTGTATTAGATATGTAATATGGAGCATATATATATATATTTATATATATATATATATATATATATATATATATATATATATATATATATATATATATATATATATATATATATATATATATATATATATATATATATATATATATATATATATATATATATATATATATATATATATATATGTATATATATATATATATATATATATATATATATATATATATATATATATAAAATATATATTGAAAAATAAAGGCATTAAAGTTATGGCCGTGTAAAATTTACAAATCCCTCATATTTAAAATGGTGGAATCGGGTGTCATAAATCATAGGTAATCACACTATATTATGAGAAGAAGTTATCAGAAATTGTGCTATGTATTGTGATTTTATTTAAAAGTATTTTTACTTTTTTATCAAACTTATAAGAAATATATTTTTATTGTTGTTCTTTTTATTATATTTTAAAGTAGCATTTTGTTACAATATTTAAAATACAAATATATAATAACTAATGTATAATAAAAAATATATAATAACAAATTTAAAAAGAGAAAAAAATTTTAAATAAGGAAAATTTTTTTTTCTGATTATATTTTTTAGTCAGGCATCTTGTATTTGTTTAAATTAAATCTAAAAAAGTACATGTTTATCGTGTACTTTATGATGAGCATTAAATACATTTATATATATAATATATATAGGAGAAAGCGGGCAACATGGCGAATGGGGCAAGATGGGTTTTCATATAACAACTCAACAAAAAATCCTAAAGTTGGGTGAAAACAAAACTGTACATGCATCTTGTATTTTAAAAAACTAATGGTTTTTTTAAATATTATTAATACAGTTTTATACGCATAAGTTTACTTTTAGCGCTTAACAAAAAGTTCCTCAGTTTCGGTTGCTCATAATGGATGGTGTCCTTCAAGTTTAATTTCTTTAGAAGTAGTTTTGTGTTTATTCTGTGTTACTTTAGTTAAAGTTATTGGTAGTTTTTAAGATTTTATAAAATTGGAGGCAAAAATTCGATAATAAGTCATCTTGCTCGGGTCACGTGACCAGATGACAAATTTATGAACTTTTTATTTTAATATTTATTTCAAATTTTTGTATTTGCAAACTAAAAATTCATGTAGGCAATGAATCAATTTAATAACATAAACATACTGAGAAAGTATTATTGCTCACGACTTCCCAAGGTTTATTCCCAAAGAATTTTCAAACTTAGTTCCATGCCCTTTCATTTATTTATTTCTGTTCAAATTTTTGTAGACTTAACTTCAAGAAGTTGTGTATCGGGTGGGCAACAGAAAAATCCGGTCAACTTTAAATTGAGATTTATCTAAAATTATAAATGTTTTTCATTTCAATTTTTTTATTATATGTGTTTACATCAATTAGGGTTTCAAAATAATTTTAAGAGACTTGATGGGCTGTTTGGCAAGAGATCAAATTTATTAGTTGATGCCATCATTTCGCAAATATTTTCTTTTTTTACCTTATTGGTGGCATTAATCCAATTTTTTTGAAAGTCCTTTTTATTTTTTGTTACTCCAACTGCCTTAAGAAGAACTCCATTAACTATTCCCAAAAATCCTCAATCTTGCGCTCTTCAGGACGATTTAGAGGATTCGAATATTTAAGAACAGTTTTCACATTATTATCTTTGCACCACTGTAGAACTTTTTTAAAATAGTCAGAAGCTAAAAGATCTGGCTAAAAGAAACATTGGTGTTTGTGTTTTTTCATAAATAGCAAAAGTCTTTTTTGGAGGCATCCTTTGATGTAGAGATCGGTAGTCAAGGTCGTCTTAGTGACAAAACAAGAGAACTGCATATCACATCTACAAATCGTTTCCCACACAAGGAACTTGGATGCAAATTATTCTCGTCGAATATATTTAAATTGATCATCGACAGATTTATCTTTGTTCTCATAGAAAAATTGTTGACCGGGAAATTGTGAAAAGTCCACCTTGCAATATGTTTTGTAGTCTTCAATTACGCACATACTTTTATCCCCTATTATTTTAACCAACTTCTTTGTGCGTCAAATTCCTTTAATTTTACCATTTCAGCTTCTTATAAGTGAACTTTTCTTATGAAATACTTTAGTTTTAACATTTTTAAGTACTTTTTTTATATAAAAATTTTTATAAAAAAATTTTGAGTTTTCTTGCTAGATCTTGCCGTGACTGGTTGGGATTTCTTGATATTGAACTGAGAACCAACTTTAATTTTTTTAAATTTATGAAAAGTTTTCTTTCTTCCACTTCCAGATTTTCTTTCGAAGCATTGAGTAGTTATAAACTTATTATTATGATATCTATGAAAAAAAAAAAAATACAATGTGTTCATGATAAAAAAATAGTGTCTATTTTTTTTTACAAAATTCATTTATCTCTTGATTGCAAAACGTACAAATGTCCCAAAATCTTCAGTCATAGATATTATAAGTTTATTTTTTTACGCACCTCAACTCATTTCCGAAACATTTTGCAAATCATTGATTTGTAAACAAAAGTTTATCAACATAACTAAAGATAAGGAATAACGTTTAACTAAAAAAATAAAAGAAATAAAAAGCATTTGTGGTTTTAGAGAAATCTCAATTTAAAGGTGAACGGATTTTTCCTAGTCCACCCGATAAATTCTTCTGAGAGTTTTTGAAATATTTGTGGTGAAAAAACAACAAAGTAATATTACTGATTTTGTTGAAAAAGTATATTTTACGTATTTTGTGAGAACATAGGGGACCACGACAAATCTTGGGCCCCGCACGGAGTTTGTTTTTAGAGTAAGCACCATGAAACATTTCAATGTTTCATAATGCTAACTCTCCCCTACCAAGAAAACATAGTTTTAGTGGATTTGCAATGTACCTATTTAGGCATTTTTGAGCAGTTTATTGGAGTTTTACTCATTGGTTACTTAGTACACCATTAGTTGCAGCTGCTATGAATGGTCAGTTAATAATTTTCCGACAAGTTAATAATGGCTAGTCATCGGCTAGCCACTTTTGGAGGCTTCGATTACTTGTCCACTAAATAACCGATGAATAACCGCTCAGAATTCCTATATAGGTTAACTGAAATTTAGAAATAGAATGTTTGGTGGGTAGTGGCTTATTTTAATACGGTCGGAACACTTTACTGTTAGGAAAATTTTCAGTAGTACAAGTAAACGCTCAGTAGTACAAGATTTTTTACCGCTTGATGGTTCATGTGTTGGCAGCTTATTGGTTAGCTAAGAGGAAAAGTTTATCTAATCTGTGTATTGATCAAAATATAAGAATAAATATTCGGACAGTATAAAATTTAATACATTTCGTATAAAATTTAATACAATCATTAAATTTTAAAACATATCAAATATAATTTTTAACAAATTGTACAAATTTTATATTTTATATTATCTAAAGTTTTGACGTTTAAAAAAAATTTTACTTGCTAAATAAATGCAATTTCGTAACAATATTTGAATATGTAAGATGATAAATATTTTAGATATATCACTAAAGTGTAACCAAGTTTTAAAAAATCAGTTGAATGCTTGCAATCCAGTTATCTGTCTGCCAAGTATCAAAGCATGAATATCGTGAGTTCCTATAAAAAATTAGCAAATTCGTTAAAAAAATCAGCAAGAATTTCAATGTCATAATACATACCAAAACCAGTTAAAATACCGGAACGCGCAACATAACAACCTAACAGGAACATAACAGCAACATAACAACCTAACAGGAACATAATAGCAACATAACAACCTAACAGGAACATAATAGCAACATAACAACCTAACAGGAACATAACAGCGTTTAAACCTTGTCTATATAACGAAATTTATCAGCGTTGTTACACAACCAGAGTTTAAGGGTTATCCAGAATTTTTTATTTTTTAAATGTTTTCTGAATACAAATTTGAATAAATCTGATTTTTTTATTTATGCTCAAATAATTTATAGAAACAAATAATCAGCAGTGTATTTTGATTAAACGCCTAAAAAAAAGGGTTTAATCTCTTTTAAATAATAAACAATGGTAAAAATGTATTGAACAAAAATTACAAAAATAATTGACTAACTGTCATTAGTAGCGTCATGGCCACCAAACAGTTGTTCTACAAAATTAACATCAGGAAGCAAATCAGTGCTGCTATCTGATTCAGTGTCCATTTCACAGAAGCTGAATACATTTACATCTTCTATGACAGGAAATTCTTTCAAAAGTTGAGCTGGCGTTTTCTGTTTGGCTTATTTGCGGTAGGCAACTTTGGTCTTTGAGGAAAGCACGTTCCAGTTGTTTTTGAATTTGAGCAGCTTTTGTAGTTTATGCTCAGACTAAACTTGACACACTGTTTCCTGTACCAGCTTTACAGCCCTCTTGCTACAATGATTAACGACAGCCAAGTTTTGATGCACGACTGCAACTCCAAATAATCAAAATCGATATTCCAGGAGCTAGCTGGATAAACCATCCATTTGGATTTTTGTCATAAAATCTTAAATTAGTCATTAATCAGCAGTGATGAAGTCAACCAATTCTGGCCGAATGTACAGACATGTCTTTTTTTTTCAGGTAAAAAACCTTTATTGTGATTGTGATGTCTATCCATATCATAGTCATTTGGAATGGGTATGTTATAGAGCTTTTTGGTGATCATCTCCTTTTCTTGTTCAGTGATTGAATCATCTGAATTTGCCAGCACAATGGGAACAACAGTTGGATCCAGGTAACAGCTATGGTTTCCCCATAATTCGAACACTGCACTTGCAGCAGGTTCATTCTCAACATACCTGGACATCTTCTAAATAGAATTCAAGTCCTGATTAAGAAAAAATGATACATTTTTATAACTTTACAAATATATAGTTTTAATGCATGGAATTTAGTAATAGACAATTTATCTTTAAACTTAATATTTACGTTTTGTTTGAATACCTGTAACGGAACAATGCCTGGTTTCTCATTAGTCAGAAACTTGGGTGCATAGAAGATAGCAATAAACTTGCCCATTCTGGTGATGAGAGTTGAATCCAGATCTATATACTTTTGTACAGAATCTTTAAGAAGGAGAATTTTCAGGTAATAAGTACCTTTGGCCATGAATCTGGCATGGTGCATAGCACCAGGTTTCTTAAACTTGCAGATATAGCTTGGGCCCAGGTACATAAGGCATAACTCTGCTAGCTCATGGTAGCCATCTCTTTTCCTACCAGTCTAAAATTTTATTATGTTTTTATTGAATGTTTCCTAAATTTAGATACTATAACGCAATCAAAAAAATGCTACTAAAAATGATTATTTAGAGTTTTAATAAATTTCTGTTTACAATAATTTTAAATTAACCTCTGAGTTCTTAAAAGCTTTGATTTTTTCTATTTCCATAAGTTGGTTCTTTGTTTCAATGGCTTGAGCTTCTTGTCAAGTTCCACAAACAGATTTCCATTCAAACCTATTCTGCTGCAACTTTTAGTTTCATTGGAATGCCATTGTTTATGAAGCAAACTAAAAAGAGGATTTTCAGGACCAACAGTGGCTTTTCAACCAATAGCCTTTTCAAAATGATTGATGTGGACCTCTTCTACATGGTAATGGCAGTTCAACACATCAGTAAGGGCTTACCAAGGTCAGATCTTGGTCTTAAAAGTACATAGCGTTCTTTCATTTTATACTTACCTCAGTTAAATCATGATCAATATACGGTAGCCTTACATAACTGCTATAGTACTTTAAAAATTCAAACAACAAAGTTAGTAATAAGATTTGAAAAAAAATTCTTATTTTTATTCACCTGTATATAGTTCCACGCAGTTTACCAGTATTGCTGCTGGTATTATTAAAGCATATAGAGTGCACATTGTCAGCTATATCCAACACCTTCAAAGGGTCACTGATTGCACTAAACTGGTGCCTGGTGCACCTAGAAGACAATTTTTGCCATCAAAGCTTACAGATACACAGATCCTGTCCTTCGCTTTATCACAATGCTCAGGTATTAAATTTTTTAATATTTTGCCATCAAAATGTAATTCATGCTTGCCATTCTTGTGGTTGATGTAATCAATCACTAATTACATTTTAGTCGTCAAGTATCTTATTTTTCATTCTATATACACTTGAATATGAAAAAGGCAGCTTATCTGGATTACCTCCCTCTTCAATAATCAACTTTATTAGAGTAGCAGTGATTTTATTGGCAGATATGTTGGCTGTCAGAGCTGTTCTCATTTTGTTATGTATGGTGTCATTCCTAATATCAATATGTTGAGATTGAGAATTTGATGTGTTTTTTCTTGGCAGGACTAGGCTGATATTCACTGCCACTTGAACTGAGTGTGTCAGATGAATTTGAAGTTTTAAGTACTGATTCCTGAGCATCTACAATAGAAGGTATTCAATTAGTCACTCTTTCAAGATCTCTCTTATCCAGATCTGTTTTGAATAGTCAGCTCTGGCTTTGTCCAGATCTTTGATACACATCTTGTGATCTGCTATCTGATCTCTGATGAAGACAATGTCATTTGCTTTGTCTTCCTTGAATATAAACTTATCCATTGTGATAGCTTTAATGAGTGTCTTGTGGTCAAATTCTTGTGGTCAATTTTTGCTCAAAATAGTCCTATAAAAAGTAAAGCAAGTTAATTAGTTGATATAATAAAAGTACAATTTCTTTGTTGTTATGATCGGCTTATTTTGGGCTTGTGAGAGCTGGAACAACCACTACCACTGTCAACAGGCTCTAATTCTCTCTTTCTTGTTTTCATTTTTTAATTATATTAATAATTTAAATGATTTACATTGAATATCTTACATAATTGCCATTTGATTTAAAAAAGTTTTATAAAATACTATTACAACTAAATAAAGAAAAATACAAAATAGCTAAATCACAGAAAAAAATTTTGCTTTTTATATTTAATTTCTTACAACTAAAACTTACAATTCTCTACAATAAAAAACTCTACAAATCTTCTATTATTACTAAACAAATCTTATCTATTTTTATTTTTTTTATGACTTCAAGATTTCATTATTATTAACCAGAAAAAACATGATTGCATCATTTTTTTTCAGGTGGTAAATCAAAATACACTGCTGATTATTTTATTTCTATAAATTATTTAAGCATACATAAAAAAAAAATCAGAGTTCCCACCGCCAGAAAAACCTGGATTTCATTGATTGATTGGTTGCAACCAGTAAAAAGTGCCAACAATCTTACAGTCTGGCGCAAATCATGAAAAAGAACTTACAACGATAATTTTTGGTATATATGTTTTTAAAATAATATAAACATTCATTTGTTTAAGTTTTTGTTATAATTCAGTTTTTTTGTTTTTTTCCCAGTATATTATGCAATTTATAAAAAAAAAATTTTTTTGAAAATTGGCAGCGCGAGCTAAAAAAGTTATTAAAAAAAAAAAACGAAAAAAAGCTTTTCATTTTTTTATTATAGTCCGCAAAAAATGCCTATTTGTTAGTGAAAATTTTTCCATGACCTAATTTTTGAATCAACATATCATATATATAACATCAACATATAAACAACATATTTGTATTTCAATCTGTATAGATAAAAGTAAAAATTTAAAAAAAAAAATCATCGATGACCCTTTTTAGAACTAAAAAGTTACCTTTAGATCTATAGATTAGCAGTCAAACCTGATTATAAATGGGTATATAAAATCTGTTTTCTATTATCGAGTCAAAAATTTTTTTTTAAATATGTTTCAACTAACCTTCATAAGTATTAACTGCTTCCAAATTCATACAATGCCTGATAACATGATATTCATCTGACACACCATTACCTAATATCGAAAAACAACAACTTTAATTTAACTTTCAAAAGGTTACATTGAAATTTTATTTTCTTCAATGTTAATATCATAACTTTTACAATGCCATCAACAAAGTTAACTTTTGTGAATATCGATGTCTAACCTAATACATTAGGAAATTTTTTTTTTAAGAACAAAACAATACCTCCTAACATGTCACGAGCTAATCTTGCAGCATCTAATGCCTTGCCACATGAATTTCTTTTAATTAAAGAGACCATCTCTGGAGCAACTCTGAAAAAAAGAAACAGAAAAACATTTTTTTAACTTATTTAAAGGAGTCTAAGCACTAAATTAAAGTATTCATAATTTTACTTTTTTTTATCCATAAGCCTACCAACTTGTAAACATGATTGGAGCCCAATGGCTACCTAAAAAAAATGGATATCTAAAACACAATGGTTATCTAAAACCAGAAAAAATTTTTTTTTTATACAAGTTAAATTTTGTCAAAATTATAACTTCTATTAGAAAAACTGTGTCTGTATATGCACCTATTGTAACATATGCATTTATAAGACCATAAGAAAGCATAATATAGGAAAAATGAATTACAAATTCCAGCGAAGAATACAAAATAAAAGTGTTAAATAAGATTTATACATTTGTACTAGTACAAAGGCTACTAGATCATTGGCTATTAATCATAAATTAAAATATTTTTTTTTTTAAAGATTATTCAAAAGTAAAAAAGTCCCGTGTTGGCATAGGCCCGATTTACTCAATTTAGACTTATATTTTTCACTGGCCTTATATTAATAGCTGGATGGAGATTTTTATCACACTCTGTATTAAAAACATCAACTACTTCATTTAACTTGGTGTTTTCTTGAGGAACTGCAAAACAGTCAAACACAATATCCTGATTTTCATAATTGTTAAAATTATCTTGAACCACTTCAATATTTTTAATAGTTTTGATGAATTTTGATCATTTTCAAATATTGAATGTGAAATTTTAAATACCCCTGTTTGGCTTAGAATTCTTTTAAGATCATCTTCATTCTGATAGAATGAGAAACTCTATTGGAATATTTGTACCTAATCCAATTTTTGATTGCAAAAAGAACCTTTACATCCATTTTTATTGTGTCATGAAATGTAGTGTTCATATTCCATTGAATAAATTTTATTCTCCATAAAGATGACTTATTATTGCTCGTCCAAGGAAAATCTTTTAGAGTAGCATTACTTTTTTCAACTAAGCCTTGTGACTGAGAATGCCTAGGTTTCATTAAGCAAGATTAAATCAGGCCACAAAGTAGAGAGTTCTTATATAATTCTACCAGTAAATTCTCTCCCATTATCAAATTGCAAGATATGTGGAGCGCCATATTCAAGGAAAATGAATAAACTTATTAACAGGTAAACTTTTTTAAGTTCATACAATTAACTTGCCCTCATTGATTCAAATCATTTACTGTTACTATAACAACTACTCCATATGCAATTTCTTTTCTCTTTAATTTTTCATTACATCTTTAGTATTGCTTGATAAAGTCATAATCAAGTCCCCTTGAAATATTTGATTTTTGTTTCTGTTATTTGTTTTTTTTGTGTGTGTATGTTCAGTAGACAAATGTATACTTTAAATTATTTCAATAACATTTTCTTTTGTTGCTATGTATCCTTTTTTATTATTACTTTTTGGGTACCACCTAAACTTGAAATTTTATAAACACTTTGAAGGTGGTACTTTTTTCTAGATCTTTTGATGTTTTTTATTTCATTGCTCAAAATTTTTAAAACATACTGCTAGAATTTAGAACCCCAGAATGTTTTACATTCCAATGTCATGTTGAACAGAGACTCATATGTGTTCCTTTCACTCATTTTAAATGCTAAATTTTTTTATTTCAAATGCTAAAAGCAAAACATTTTAACTTAAAATATAAACTAACAAAATACAATAACATCATTAAAATATTAATAACATCATTAAAATCATAGTTGCAATAGTTACTGCAATTTACGAAACTGGTTTAGTGAACAATGAAGAAGTTTTTAGAGCTGTGACTCTCAAAACTTCTATGTCAATAACATTCAATTTAAAGACTTTTGGTATGATTGAAATTATATACCATAGATGAACAAAACTATCTTTGCACAATAGTTTTATTTTGATATAAACTCACATGAAGTCTAACCACAAACGTTGTAATGTTTTGAAATGGTCTGTCAGGTCTTCCAATGTACAGAATTTGGATAGAAATTGCAGGATATGATTTGCTGTGGTTAACCACCAGGAATGTGATATAGCACCTGGATGATGCCTAGCCAAATATTGATAATAGCATTCTGTTATCACCACTACACTAATGTCAAGGAAGTGCTATTGATCAGTTCTAAAATTATTTTATTTAAGAAAATCTACTTCAATTTTCTCAAACAAAATAAAAGGTAATTATTCACATCTGGCCATGGACTTTTTGATTGGCCCTGAAATGTCCTTGGTTGTTCACAAGTCAATAGTAGTTTCTATGTGTTAATATAGAATAAAGAATAGTTAGCAAACACTTCAGAATTAACATGCTTTTCTACCCTTCAATAAAATTTATATTAAGTGAACACTCAACCAAAAAAAAGAAAATATTATAAATGGAACCTAAAATATTGAAAAAAAATGGAAAGAAAACTTTTTTGTATATTTTTATTATATATTTTTATATAACAATAATATATTATTTACATTAATGCTTAATTATGGTAAAAATTTGGTTTCTTAGATTGCATCATACCTGTAATCAAGGTCGAGATTATATCTATGACATGAAAACTTGTAAAAGCTGGAGTCAGCCAAAGCAGTGCACTTCACTCTACTCCACTCAGACTCTTCTTTTTCATACTCTCATCCTAAACATTTCACTGCTGAACTTCACAATGATGACATCCTCATCAGAATTGTTAGACTTGGCCCACTTTTTTTTTTATTTTACTTCACCTCCTCAAGGCCGAGAAGGCCACTACAGACAAGGAGGCTACTTATTTTGTGGCTATAACCCTCTCTCAACTCTATAACTCAGAAACACGAACTTTGACGAACAAGGCCGCTGCGCGGAGAAACGAGTTGAGCGCGGTACTACCAGGGTCGTGGTGGGGATCGAACTCGGAACCACTCGTTTATGAAGCGAGCGCTCTACCACTACACCACTACCGCATACTACACCACTACACCACTACCGCACTACTTGACCCGACCTCAAGAAATTAGTAATAAAGTTAACAGTTTCATCAAAAATAAATTTTCTCTAATGCATCTGAATAATATGTAAATATTGTAACCTCCTTGGTAACCTCATATTATTACCAAGATTGGACTAAAGTTTAGAAATAAACACCAGTTAACAATTGGGTATATTAATCCTAAATTCTCTTCAGCTTAATACCTAATTAAAAGACACAAAAAACTAGACTTCACAAAGAAATACTTATTATAATCTACTGAAGCATTGCACTAAGCCAACTGATCCATAGTATGATCCTTGATCCATGTGTCAAAATTAAGCATAAAATACAGGAAATATAGTTGAGAATATTGAAATTTAGTTTATCAGTAAGATATTATCTATAAAAAATAGAACATCAAACATACAGAAGTGTACATAAACATTGAAGAAAAAATCTTAAAACAAATTCTACATGACCCAAGCTATTTGCTACAAATGAAAACCAAAAACAAATTTAAAGCCTACAAAAATAGTTTAATCTAAAAAATTCTTGAAAGAGATGGCCAAAATAACCTACAACTATTAGTACTGTAACAACTCTTTAATTTCAAATATATATAAATATATATATGAAACAATTCTGTAATTTCTAACTTGTTTAGTCATTGAATTTAAATAAAGATTTATAAAATAAAAGTTTATAATTAAAAATTTATAATTAAAACAAAAATTTAAATTTTATAATTAAAATAATAAATTAAATAAAAAGTAAAAAGATTTTATCAAAATAATAAAACTTATAATAAAAGCTTTTTACCTCTGTTAATATATCAGCCAGCTTTTTTTGAATAAGTTGATTTTGAGCAAGAGGGCGACCAAATTGATGTCTAAGTAAAAAAAAAAAAGAAAAAAACTGTTTTTTTTTTTGTTTATACAATTGAACAATTGAAGATGGTTTAAGAAATATAATAAATAGAGGAGGAGAAAGTTGTAAAAAAATTCACTTTTGTTTTATAAAAATGACTATAACAGTTGTTGACTATAACAGCAAGAAGTTATTAAGAGCAAGCAGTTGTTAACAGAAACAGCAAGCAGTTAACAGCAACAGCAAGCAGTTGTTAACAGAAACAGCAAGCAGTTAATAGCAACAGCAAGCAGTTAACAGCAACAGAAAGCAGTTGTTAACAGAAAGCAGTTGTTAACAGCAACAGCAAGCAGTTGTTAACAGCAAAAGAAAAAAGATGACAAAACTATTTTTTTTTCATTCTAGAATTAAAAACTGAAATTATTAAGTTTTGGAATTAAAAAACTTTATTCCAAAAGGTAATAATTTCAGTTTTTAATCCTAGAATATTTTTAGTTTTATTTTGTAACAAATATAAAAAAATCAAAAATCCAGCAGAAAAGTCTGCTTTAAAACCTGCATTAACTAATGTCATATACGTTTATATGCTGATGAGTCTAACAATTTTTCTTATTTCTGGTTAAAAATTTTATCATAAGTTTTTTGAAAAACATAAAATTCTTATAAAATGTTTGCCGAAAAAAATAATAAAAAATCTACCTTTCTAAAGTGTAATTTCTTGCCATATGAAGACAAAACTCTGCAGCACCTAAGACACCCCAGGCAATTCCGTACCTTGCATTAGTCAAACATCCAAATGGTCCCTAAATATCAAATCAAATTATTTATTAAAAATTTTAAAATTTAGTTGAAAAAAAACAAACTGTAAAAACTAACCTTTAAACCAGTGACATATGGAAGCAAATTTTGTTCAGGCACAACTACATCCTCCATAAATATTGAACCTGTTTTTGATGCTCTTAAAGAAAACTTTCCTTCAATGTTTGGAGCAGTTAGACCTTTCATACCCTATAAAAAAAAAAAAAAGACCAGTGTTGTTTGTGCAATTTGTCTGTATTTTAATTATTATTATTATTATTAAATAAATATAATTAATCTATTTTTAATCTTTATATTACATACAACTGTCAAAATAATTTTGAAAAATAATTCTCTTTAATCTAAGTCTTATTCATTTTGCACTCAAAATCATTGTGATCATTCAGAAAATTTAATGACATGTTTTAAACTTTTTTTTTTATCATAAATACCATTAAATAAAAGCTTGCATTTTGATTTAAATTTAAAGTTTATTAAATAAAATATAAGTTATAATAGTTTATAAACAAGAACAAAACAAATAAACAACAGAAATATACAACAGAACAAACAAACAACAGAGCATAAAAAGAGAACCAAAAAAAACCCAATTCAACTAAAGGTATTTATAACAGCAAATATTTTTAAAAAAATTTAAAAGTTGAAAAGGTAGAGAGTAATAATAAGTTTTCTATTTAAAGAGAGCAGTAGTGAAGTAGCGAAGAGAAGAGCAGTAGTGAAGTAGCAAAGAGAAGAGCAGTAGCGAGGTAAGCGAAGTAGCGAAGTAGCGAAGAGCAGTAGTGAAGTAGCGAAGAGAAGAGCAGTAGCGAGGTAAGCGAAGTAGCAAAGAGAAGAGCAGTAGTGAAGTAGCGAAGAGAAGAGCAGTAGTGAAGTAGCGAAGAGAAGAGCAGTAGTGAAGTAGCGAAGAGAAGAGCAGTAGCGAGGTAAGCGAAGTAGCGAAGAGCAGTAGTGAAGTAGCGAAGAGAAGAGCAGTAGCGAGGTAAGCGAAGTAGCAAAGAGAAGAGCAGTAGTGAAGTAGCGAAGAAAAGAGCAGTAGCGAGGTAAGCGAAGTAGCGAAGAGAAGTAGCGAGTAGCGAAGAGAAGAGCAATAGCAAGAGTTTGAAAAAATAAAAATAAAATTTTTACAAAAGTATAAAATTCCTAGACTAAAGAAGAGGCTTGAAAAGATTAAAACATACTTTCTCTAAAATAAATCCTCTGATTTCTTTATCTTCACAGTTTGCCCAAATAATAAAAACATCAGCAATTGGAGAATTTGTAATCCTAAAATAATAAAAACATCAGCAATTGGAGAATTTGTAATCCTAAAGATAAAGATCAATAATAATTATTAAAACAAAAAACTATTTTTGTGATTTTTATTTTTGTCTGACTTGTTTTGAAATAGTGTTTAAAATAAATTTAATTGAAATACGCTTATATTTTAATTTAACAACTCTAATTTTAAAAATTAAAGTAATAATATATTAATATAGTGCCAACATTAATCCCCAAATTGCAGATAATTTTTTAATCTACTGATTATATGATGAATCAACACTAATTATTTGACACAAAAAAAATTTCTGAAAGTTTTAATAAATAATTTTTCCACAACAATGAATTTTAATGATGAACCAATACTTCTTTAATAAATTATACAACTTGAGACAAAGGCTAAAACATACTTTACATCTTTACATTGCCCTCTGATGGAAACCCTATATATAATCCATTTCAGAGTTAGCATCTGAGTTTTCTCACTTTGTCTTAATAATCTTTGCCTTATTAATAAATACTACAATGGTCGCATCACATCTACCATGGTCACATCACCTCATATACCATATACCACATATACCATGAACCATGGTCACATGGTCCCATCACCTCTGATATTACTCTAACAAACAAAACAAAGTTTGACTAGTAATTCAGATAAGTCACATCCTTTTACTGTAACTGTTTCTTCAAGCTCAAAAAAGTTTTTTTTATCTATTTTTTCTTTTACAAACATCAGTGCATTGAAATTCTCTACCATTTTTATATTTTTTGAATAATTCCTTTACATGATTTTTATAATTTACTTTTAAATTTCTATTTCTTATTTTTTCTATTGTTTCAAATTAATGAAACTTTAAATTTTAAAATTGTATCAAAGTTTGTTTTTTTTTCCAGAGTATATCATTATGAGAATATAAATGTTTACTGCCAAAGCATATCATTTTGCCAATAAAGTGTTTGCTGTCAAATTTTACAACTAAGTCAAAAAATTATTTGCAAGAAATTAATAAATTTATTGACTAAATTGATACATTTTTTGTAAGAAGTCAATAAAATGTTTTTAAGATATCAATTACTATTTTGTAAGAAGTCGATAAATATTTTGTACGAAGTCAATGAATATTTTGTAAGGAGTTGATAAATATTTTGTAAGAACTCAATAAAACTTTTAAAATTTATATTTATATGTATTATTGATTTTTAATTATATTTTCAATAACTTTAATGATTCTTTAACAATCTTTAGTGATTTTTATTTATTTGATATAAAAATTTTTATTTACTATTGTTAAAATTGAATTATTTTATCATATGTACTACTGATATCATTTTATTGATATCATTTTAATATCTTTTTATAACCAAATTTTTTTTATTAATGTTATCATAAATTAATAATTGTTTAATAATTCATTAATCATAATTCTTATAAAACTTTAATAATATATTACATTAAATATAGGATTCATAAAACTAAAATTTTTTTTTTTAAGAAACAAAAAAATTATTGGTTAACTGTTGTAGAGTTAAATGTTAAGGTTACTAAACAAAAAAGAAGTGAAATTTGAATTTCTAACAATTGTACAAAGTACATGGTACAATTTAACAAAGTGAGTTTCTAACAATGGTACTTCTTAAAAATCATTAATAGAACTCAGAAAATATTCAAAACTATTCAATTGACTTTAATATATAGTTCCATAATAACTTTGTCTTGAAAAAAAGTTTTCAAAACTACAAAACATGTCCAGCCTACAAAACATGTCCAGTCTATAAAACATGTTCAGTCTACAAAAACTGCAACAAACTTTAACACCAATCACTAGTTAATTGACCTTACTGCTCATGTGGTGCAACATTTTTCAGTTAAAACACTAGTAGATAATAATAATAAACTAGATTTCTCATCTCATTACCAGGGTGCAGAACAAACAGTCAAACTAGTTCTAGAAGAATCACATTACTATGTTTAGAAACCAACACAGTTGACCAAATTACTATGTTATATTTAGAAACCAACACAGTTGACCAAATTACTATGTTATATTTAGAAACCAACACAGTTGACCAAATTACTATGTTATATTTAGAAACCAACACAGTTGACCAAATTACAGAAAATTGTGTAAAGCATTTATGTTAAAATGACATCATTTGAATTTATAAAAGATTTTGTTGGAATCGAAATTCACTAATCAAAATCTTTGAAATATCAAAACATTTGTTTTTATTTTTTTAAATATTTCATATGTTTTTATATTACTTTTTAAATATTTCATTTCTTTTTATATACTTTTTTTAATATTTCATTTGTTTTATATCGTTTCATATCTTTTTAAATATTTTATTAGTTTTTATATTTGCTATAATTTGATTTTTTTTAATGGTTGTAAGTCCAATATTTAAAATTTTAATGATAAAAATACTTTTAAAAGACTAAAATTGCTTATTACAATATTATTTTCTAAATTATTATTTACAAAATTTTTAATGAAATCAAAAAAAAAATAATAATTTTTAATGAAAAAAAAAAAAAAAAAAAATGAATAAAAGAAACTTTATAAAACTACTAGTTTACAATTAAAAAAATTTTTAAATTTTCATTTTTCTTTTCAAAAACTTTTCATTTTTTTATTTCAAGAACTTTTCAACAATTTTACTAAAATAATTTTTGATTACAATCAAGTCAGGCAAAAAATATTGTGAAAATTAAAAAAAAATGTTTTCGAGTGACAGCAATAAACCTTTTTAATGTATTTTTAACATAATTTCATAACATTAATATATATGATTTTTGTAATTACTTTATTAGTAACTTTATTTTATGTTAGATGACAGTCTGAACTAATCAAACCAAAATAAAAAAACAAAAAATAATGAGTAATATATTTTTTTACACCATGTAATTCATGTATTTTGTAATATGATTTGTTTTAATGGTTTTAATTAAAACATTTTTTAAATTGATTTAAATATTTTGAGACTTGAAAATTGTAAAGTTGAAAACTAAACTGCATAAGCTGCAATTATTAATTCAAACATTAACTTTCAGTTATTTTAAGATGTCATATTTTTCTAGTAGATGGTAAAGAAATAAACTTTATTTATTTTACAATTTTAAAAGTTCTCAAAAATAACATGGTCTGTTAACTGATTTAACTGTTTTATGTTAACTGTTAACTGATTTAACTGAGTTAACTTTTATAAATGATTTTTACAACTTCTGTTGGTGATAGTGTTTTCCTGGCTTGAATTGTGTTTTAGTTCTAAATGATAAAAATTACATTTTGTTAAGAAAAAAAAAAAAAAGATTTTTAAAAGCTCTAACTAAACAACTTTAAACAATTTAAATTTATTGGCCTCTAGGAGCCTTGAAGAGATAAAAAATGAAAAAAAATTATTGAAGTGTATTTGGATCAAGATATTCTTCATATTCAACATGTCGAGGTTTGGATCAAGAAAAGATATCCTGCATATTCAACATGTTGAATCATCTTTATTCATATATTAGTAATTTTAATAAATTTAAATTTATTATTTAATAATATATACTGCATAAAAATCACATTACTCATTACATAACTACAAATATACATAAAAAATTGAACCCAAAAAACAGAGGTTTTTGTCAAAAGAAAACAACTTTGCATCTTAGATTTTATTTAAGATCAAAAAGAAAAGGCTTTTTTTTTACAACTTTTTTTTTACATTAATTTTTAAGTAATTTATGTTCAAGGCTTATTAACCATCATTTTTCACTTCTTAACAATATCAAATTCAAAATATTCAAAAGTAATTTTTATGATGAATATAAAAGCTAAAACTAAACTAATAAAGATTTTTATTTTTTAACACAGCATAAAACCTGACGGTCTCTCTGCTTCACAGAGTGGCTGACGGTCTCTCTGCTTCACAGAATGACTGACAGTCTCTCTGCTTCACAGAGTGGTTGACATTCTCTCTGCTTCATAGAGTGACTGTCTCGTGCTTGTTTCAAAAATCATAAATTAGATTAGGATCTGCTGATTTATTTTACACAAAAAATTTTAAAAGTTTTTTTTTAATTTATATACTTTTTATAACAGTTATTTTTATAACACTCAATCTTCTTGCTAAGATTAAATCATGTTGCTAAGATAAAATCTTGTTGCTAAAATAGATACTGATCCTCCATTTTCAAACTTTGTTAAACTCACACCGAGTTCAACAACTTCTTCTCCACTGGTAACTTAGCTCATAGCTGTTTAAAATTTTTTTTAATTGCAGGCGTTTGCATTAGATATTTCTTAACCAATTGGTTAAGAAATATCTAATGCAAACCCCTGCAATTAATGCAAACAATGCTACGCATTGCTGCAAACAATGCTACGCATATTCGAACTCTTTAAAAATAAAAAAAAACCTTCTTTTTTTCTTGTTCTGCAGAAAATTAAAAAAACAAAAAGTTCAAAAAAAATTTTTGATCATGAACCAAAAAACTAATTTACATTAAAGTTTTGAAAAAATAAAAAAACAAAGAAATGATTTCAGATATTTAAAAGTTTGTTAAAAATTGACAAAATATAAATAAAAATTTACAAATTACCACCCAACTACTTCTCTAACATAATCTGCTTCAATTTTTAAAATGTTGACATTAATCCAGACATTTTTTAAACAAAAAAAAATTATATCAAAAAAGAATAAGAATAAAGAATTTTTTGGCCTTAATAAATATCTTTATATAATTTATATATAATAAATATCTTTTATACATAAACAATAACCCAAACCCTTAGTTGATGTAACTAAGTTGATGTACTGAAGTCTAAGTTGTTGTAACTAAGTTAATGTACTGTCTAAACATATGACTTTTATTATGATGTCATAATTGCCTTTTTTATTCTCATGTTGATTACTTAAAAAAAAATTCCATACCATTGCTTACTGCCATTCAGTATAAAACATTTTTTTTCAGGAACATATTTTGCATTTGTGGCCATCCCAGCAGGATCGCTTCCAAAATTTGGCTCCGTTAAACCAAAACAACCAACCAACTCACCTTTTGCTAAAAACAATTTAAAAGTACTTTTTTTATTTTCTAAACTATCGAATAATATAATAATTATTCAACATTATTATTGTTTATTCAACATTATTATGTTTATTGTAAGTGGCTAACTAGTTAGTATGTTTTATGCAGTCAATAAAATAATAGCAATTAATATTTTTATTAAAACCATTAAAAAATAAAAAATTCTAATTTTATTAAATTTTAAAATTTAAATTTTATTTAAAATTAAAACATTTTTTGTTCTACTCACAAGTAAGCACATAAAAAATTATGACCTTAATTATAAAAAGTTTGAATTAAGCTTAGAAAGTTAGTAATCACAATAAAACAGCGCTAATGCTAACTTTTGTTGTGGTTAACAACAGTTTTTTTAACTAAAAATCATTTTAGCAATAAATTTCAAATTAAATAACCTATTGAAAAACACGACTCAATTTTTTCATAATTTTTGTAATATATATAGCAATTTCATATTTTCATTAATATATATAGTAATGTCAAATAAAAAAAAAAATTTTAATAGCAATCCATTTAAAAAAAAATCTTTTTTAATTTAATTGACTTACTTTAAAAAAGAAAGTCTAAAAGTCTAACATTTATTTAATGAAACAGCAGATAATTTTAATGTAGTTGGATTGAAAAAATGTATAACACTTTTGCAAAAGTTGGCATTGCCAATATTTATTAACATCTGTTAGATGTAAATCTTGATGGGGAAATCATGAACCTAAGAGCTTATGCCAGTTTAGCTACATTACTTAAGGAAAGTTTCATGTTGAAAATGTTTGATGTTGTAAATGACTGTTTTAATCATTAACTTAAACTCGCCTTAAAAGATGAAAGTTTATGAAACTATTGAGCTTCTTTTACAATCGTCATTGTATGTCATTGTATGTCATTGTATGTTATTGTATGTCATTGTATGTTATTAAAACTGCCATTATATGTAATCAAAGCCAAAAACTACAAGAGTTGTAAAAGTTGTTCATCAATCCCCCTTTTATTTAACCCCTTTTTATCAACCCCAGCCCTTTTATCAACCACTTTAGGCATTTAAGTTTTCAGAACTCACAATCAAAAGCTGTAAGAATAGTTCAAGAATGGACAATGATCAAGTTCCAAATTCTCCTCAAGAATTTGGTTGATGACAAAATTGTCATGATCCACTATATAAACTGAATAAAACTTTTAAAACATCAAAATAAATTAAACATTTAAATTAATAAATTAAACATTTAAAACATCATGATCCAAATGTTAACTTCCTCATATGTAATATATGGCCATTTCCCAGATGTAATATAGAGGCATAGCCATTTTCTTAAGTAGTACATGGTAATTATTTCAAATATTATCATAAATATGAAAGCTTGATCCCTACCATGTCCCTGGTAGTATGGCGCTCAACTTGTTTTCCCATGCAGCAGCCTTGTTCATCAAGGGTCATGTTTTGGAGTTATAAAGTTGAGAGGGGGTTTTAACCACCATTAAGTAGCTGCCTCATCTGTAGTGGCCTTCTCGGCCTTAAGGAGGCGAATTAACATAAAAAAAAAATAATAAAAAAGATTGCTTGGAATATCTACTTCAGATAAGTGAAGAGAATGCAGAGATTGAAGCTGATACTACTATGTAAAAGTATTGAAGCTGAAACTACTATGGAAAAGTAAACAATAAAAAGATGTAAACAGTAAAGATGTATTGTCAGCAAAGTTTCATCATCATCCTAAAAAACAAAAAAGGTGTCCAAAAATTTTAAAAAAATTTTAACTTTATTTCAAAAAGGCATTTTATTTTCATCTCCTTAAAAATACTTTTTTAGTAGTTTAAAATATAAAAACAATCAATTGCTATGCATCAAATGAGAATATAAAATTATAACTCTGTTCTAAATACCTTTTATTCAAAAATAATTTAAGCATAACATCTAAAATTTATCACATCTCAAATTTTTGTGATTAAATCTTTTAATATTAACTGGACTTTATAAAATGCAAAATCACAAAGTCATTTTTTAAAGAAAAAACTAATTGAAAAAATTCTTTACCTTTTTAAAAAAAACTAATCCAAATAATAAATGATAACTTACCAAGTTTAGGAAGATACTTTTCTTTCTGTTCAGTAGTACCATAAGCATAAATAGGAAACATTACTAAAGAAGATTGTACACTCATAGCTGATCTATAGCCACTATCAACTCTATAATATATATATATATATATATATATATATATATATATATATATATATATATATATATATATATATATA